CCATGTCTCAAAAAAATAACAAAAATAAATTGCCCTCAGAACATAAGGTTTTCTTTGCCAGTGAAGCATTAATCTCTCTTGTGATAGATGAAATCTATACACCTTGTCACCTTGCCCCTTTTGACTTCACTGCCAAGGAGCTCAGCACCCTGAGTCCCTGGGGACCCAGAAAAGAAGAGTTTGATCTTTTCTTGAAGACTCTTCAAGTCTGACCCAGTGGGAGGAGGCAGATGAGTGGGTGGTTCCAGCATCAGTGAGCCCAAAGGCAGGGGGCATATCTGTGTGCCACTGAGGCCCAGGTGTGGCTATGGCCCTCGTTTGTGACTCCCACTACCTCACCCTGCAGGAGGGTCGAGAGCCTGACTACTCAGAGTACAAGGAGTTCAAGCTGACTGTGGAGAACATCGGTTACCAGATGCTGATGAAGATGGGCTGGAAGGAGGGCGAGGGACTGGGCACAGAGGGACAGGGCATCAAGAACCCAGTGAACAAGTGAGTAGTGGGATGCACCCTCCGGAGCCCCACTGCCTGCTCCCACCCCACTGCACATAGCTTGCCACGCACAAGCTAGTGATGCAGGGAGGTTTGGAGGTCTGTCCCTCTCCCAGCTCTGGGGACTTCTTCCTCCCCCAGGTCCCTTTGTGAAGGTACAGATGGGTCAAGCCCTCCTGGGACTGCTGGTCTTGTTTATATTCTCTGCAAGCTAGAAACCAGTCCCAGAAAGTGGGAAACCTTCTGATGTGACCCCTTGCTTTAGGCGTCCCCTGCACTGTTGCACCACTCTTAAGGCTGGCCTCTCAGTACTGTCCTTGAGTAGCTTCCCTGTTATCCCTAGAGCTGTGATAACCTACACTGTGGGTACTCCTTTCCTTGCAGGACTCTGGGGGCTGGACCACCTTTATGCCTCCCTTTTCGGCTAGTGTAGGCTTGTCCCTGCACAGATGTCCTTAGCCCAGCAGCCCACTGAGTGCCTGAAAGTGCAGTTGTTGAGCCCAGGCAAGCCAGGCCTCTCTGTCCCTCTTTCCACCGGCACCAGCCCAAGTACTGCTCACACTAGCCCATTACCTCTCTGCAGGGGCACTACCACGGTAGATGGTGCCGGTTTTGGCATTGACCGGCCAGCTGAGCTCTCCAAGGAGGACGATGAATATGAGGCCTTTCGCAAGAGGATGATGTTGGCCTACCGCTTCCGGCCCAATCCTCTGGTGTGTGCACCCTTGTTCCCCTATCACTTGCTTCTTTCTGAGCCGTCCTGATTTCTCACGGTAGACTCCAGGGGGGTGGCCGGATGGCAATAGAAAGGTCCCTCCAATTCCTTTGCAAGCTAGGCCAGAAACCTCTAGCTCTCAACCTGCATTGGAACCCCCTCCTCTACTTAGAGCTTTCCCTTCCCGCTGGAGGATTTGAATTCAGCTGCCCCTGGATAGAGGAACTGCTCTGTGTCCTTTGCATTAACCCCTCCCCCTTTTATCTTTTTGGCTTCCCACAGAACAACCCCAGAAGGCCTTACTACTGAATATTCTGGAGAAACACAAGTCTACTTTCTGAACAACAGTCCCTGGGCTGTGGGATGTGCTGGCCTGCATTTCTGCCCATCCCTATGGTTGTTACGAGTGTTGTGCCATTTATTAAAGTCCCAGTGCTCACCCGCCATAGCAGCCTGGTCCCTGCCATTGTGGAACCCTTTCCTGTCGCTTAGCAGTGGGCTAGGTCAGGCAGATGGAGGCAGAACTTGTTCTCTGATTGAACCCAGAGACACTTTACCACTAAGTTACCTCTCTAGACTTTTTTTTTTTTTTCCTTGTATTTTGTATTGAGACATGGTTTAAGTTGTCAAGGGTCTCACTAAGTTGTTGAGGCTGGCCTCAAACTTGTAATCTGGCAAGACAATTTCTCAAAAGCCCCCCAGTATCTGAGGAATCTCAGAGCACCACCTAATCCCTTATCTGTCCCTGTGATCTGTTCCCCCTAAGCTTGGGTTGCAACTGAGGGGAGGACCCTTAGCTCTCACTGTAAGGAGACAGAGAAGGCTGCTCTTCTGCAGCAGAATTTAGGGAGGGGCACTTGGTTGACACCTGGCCATGCCTAGGCCCAAGGGTGTGTGTTTGGGACCTTTCAGCCTAGCACTGTTTTAGGAAGTTAGAGGAGGACAGGGTCTTTAGGCAGGACCTGTCTAGCCTTCGCTTCCTGGCAGGAGGTGCTGGCAGGGCCCAGCACACACAGCAAACCACTACTGGTGATAAGCCGCAATCCTGGCTGTTCCAACTACTGGTTCCACTAGTGTGATGGATATACAAGTCCCTGACCCTAGTTCATTTGGAGACAGCTGGTGGTTGGACGCATGCTATTGCATCAGTCACAGGATGGGGCTTTGGAGCAGGAAGTTTTAAGGCAGGAGGGTAGCCCAGGCCAAAGTGTGTGCCAAGACATCCCCAGCTGTGTCTGCTAGAGCTGGTATCTCATGTCGTGCAGAAACCACTTAGGGATCTTTGGCTGCAGCTGCTCAGTCCCAGGTTGCATGGGGGACCCAGGAATCTGCATTCTTACCAGTTCTACAAGTCTGCAGACCACATGTGGTAGGCCATAGCCTGGGGATCTCTCCCATCTTCCCCCACACATCCAGCTACCTGGTGGTGACCCAACACCTGTAGGGTAGAGGGATTCCTCTTCTCAGGCTCCATGAACTCAAGCTGGAGTTGGGCTCCTGGGTCAGCTGTGGCCAGTCATTCAGCAAATACTGAGCACTAATTGAGAACCAGATGGAGAGCTGCCCCCAGGCAGCTGGTCTATTGGGGCAAGGTGGTGTCAGTTATAGCTGCTTATTGAGGGCTGCAAAAGCTAATAAGGGCTGGGGGTGTGGCTGAATGACAGCCTTTGCCTAGCATATGTAAGACGCTGGATTCCATCCCTGGCACCACAAAAAGGGAAAATGGATACCAGGAGGAGCCAGGGGCTGCTGTGGAGTGTACTTCAGTAGGCCGAGGGACTGGCAAAGTCTCAGAGGCAATAGCAGAGCTGAGGCTGGTGTGAAACGCCATCCTGTTTCCCATCTTTGAGTTGGGTGTGACACTGGTGGGTGTAACCCAGGTGTTTGTTTATGGGGGCTGCCCAGAAGGCAGCTGGGCAGAGCCCTAAGCACAGGTGCACCTCTCGGCAGCCAAAAATTCAGACGACAGGACCTTGGGGCTTAGTTCCACACACCCTGTCACCCAAGTCACCTCTCCAATGAGTTCAGTAACCTGGAGGTTTGCCAAGTGAAGGCATGGACTTTACCCTCAGGCAAGAAAGGAGAGAGGCCTCCAAACGCTGTTCGCGTGTGCAGGTACATAGGGTGCAAGGTCAGTCTCTGAGACAACTGGGCACAGACACTCCTGGCTCTGCAAGGGGAGAAGTAGGGTAGGGTGAAGGGCAGCCTTGAGTAGGAGTTACTATCACCTGCCTTAAGAGGTAAGAACATGGGCTTAGGCTCAATGGCAGAGCACTTGCTCAGTGTGCCCAAGGCTCTGGGTTAGATCCTCAGCCTGGAGAGGGAGGTGAGAACTTAGGGTCCACCTGGCAGACAGCAGACAGGCCTGTGGATTGTCTGCACTGCTAGAATTGGGAAAGTAGCCCTGGGAAAGCTGAACTTCACCCCATGCACAATGGGCACCTGGGGAGGGACGCTGAATCAGACTGGTAGCCTTGCTTAGACACCTTGGCTCTGGTTGGTACAAGGCCAGTGGGCAGCATGGAGAAGGGGCCTGGCTGTCCAGGGGAGGAGCTGTGGGCTCCTTGGAGGCAAGACTCAGGCAGACACATCTCTCCATGCTATTTCCAATAGCCACAAGTACTCCACATGGGCAAGAACCTCAGACCAGTTGGAGGGAGTTACAGAAACAGAAGACTGCCTAATTTTCCTGACCTCAAACTATGGCCCTCCATGTTCCGGTTCTCCCTACTTCATATCCCCCTGGCCCTGCCCAGCCCCCTATATCTGTTCAGAACCTTCCCACAGCCAGTTAGCTCCCTGCTTCCTCCCTCACAGCTGCCTCTGAAACCCACACTCCACCTTTCCCACTTTCCTCCCTCAGCCTCTCTGGCTTCCTTCCAGATGATCAGCTCCACGCTGGAACCCTCACTCTCCCTGCTAGGAACACTTCCCCGAACTGGCCCCACCTGGACCTTCTGATTTCAGCATCTGCTTCTTAAATCCTTTGCCCCCCACCTCTTTCCCCTACTGGAAGGACCCAGCCTATGTTTGCCTGCATTCGGACAGCCCCAATCAAAACTTCATAACTGGACTCGTTTAAATTTGTGGCCACTGAACACTCAAATCCAAGTGCACTGGTTGAGGGGATTCCTCAATGCAACACAGGCGATGCTCACTTGATCCTGGAATGGGGGTGGGGATGGTCTGAGGTATATGGGGCATTAAAAAGGACCCCTTAGGACTGGGAATGGAGCTCAGTGGTAGAGCCTTTGTTAAGTATGCTTGAGGCCCTGGTCCCATTCCCAGTATCGCAAAAGTAACAAAACAACAACAAAAGGACCCCCTTCCAGGTTTAGATTGGGACGCCAGTGTTGGGACAAAGATGGCAGAAGTGCACCTCACCCCAGCTCAACCCGAACTACTGATAGACGCCTGGAGAGAATGAATTCCCTTAGAACGAAGTGGCCGCCCCGGGATCTCTAGGACTCTGTCCCTGAACTCAGAGCAGAAATGTCTCGAAGTGCTGTGTTCCAGCCTTTGATAAAAGGGAAACTAAGGCTGGACAGCCGGGACCGCCCAGGGTCAGACCGGGGTGGCGGGTTCAGAGACCGACGGGCGAAGGGGCGGGGTAGCGGCAGGGGGCGGGGCCTCGGAGGCTCCCCGGGAAAGCGCTGCCTGCCCCGGACGCCGCGGGGGGCGACCTTTGTGCGGGGCGGGTCCCTGGCAACCCCCGGCCTAGACGCGCTGCCACTGAGGAGCCGAGCGCCCTGGAGGATACGCCAGGACCGACCCGGGTCCCGGCGCCGCCGCCATGGACATCCCGCCGCTGGCCGGCAAGATTGCGGCTGTGTCGCTCGGCGCCCTCCCGGTGTCCTACGTGCTCAACCACGTCTCAGCGCTCTCGCAGTGCGTGCGGGGAGTGCCTCCCGGGGAACACCGGGCGGAAGCGGGCGAGGAGGACCGGAGGGGGCTGGGGGGAGGATGCGCGGGCCGCGGGCTTGGTTCCCCCAGCCCCGCGCCCCGGTGCAGCTCGGAACCGGGAGGGATGGGGGCTGGGCCAGAATTACCCCCTCCAACCGGAAGTTCCCTTCTCTCCTTGTTGGAGGCTGGAGTGGGCACTCTCTGGGATGTTTGGGGTCTGAGGAGAAGGGATGCCAAAGATCCGAACCCCACACACGGCAGGGTTTTGAAAGGTTTCTGGGGGTATTTCCAGCGATGCACCTAGCACAGGTTCTAAAGTCGCCAAGGGTCAAAGTATTGCCCCAGATAAGGCCTGATGACCCAGCTCTTGCTGCCACACACACCTGCTCCATGCCTCAGTGCAGGCCAAAGACTTTCTTTTTGTTCATGTCCTGCGCATCCTGACCTTAGACTGACATGCAGAGACTCTGTCTCTGAGGGTCCAGCAAGCCTTTCACACTCCCAAACCCAGTTCATCACAAACCGTGGGATAGATAGAATCTTTAGGATGGGTCTGACTCCCTGGGTACAAGTAATCTGTCTCTATCTCCTGGGACCCTGGGTGAAACAACTTGCCTTTAGAACCTCAGTTTTTTCATCTCTGTGATGGCAAAATCTTAGATCTCACCCCATTGTTGTGGGTAGAGATTGCAAGTTGTGTGCAAAGACCCTGTTGTGGTCTCATCCAATTACTGTAGTTGTCATTGTTGATAGATAGGGTCAGGAGATCCTAGGAGATTAGAGGGGTTCAAAGAAGATAGAGACCTGGATGATTTGGGGAATTGATGTTCAGAGTTTTGCTGTGTGACCCTGGACAGATCTCTCACCATCTCTGGACCTTGGTTTGCCCAGAGACCTGCCTTCCGTTATCTACATAACCTTATCACTGCCTTATCACTCGCCTTGGGCAGATCTGGGCAGGGATAGAGTGGAATGAATGGAGGCATTTGGACTTCAACTGGGAGGGGTTGGAGTCTTTGGCGTAGAGGTCTACAGAGCTGAACACTAGAACCCTCCCGAGTAGGAGTTGAGCCTGGCCACAGAGAGGCTTGGCATTGTTGAATGACTGACTGAACAAATTGAATTGATTGAACACACATCCACAAATGATGGAATAAATTGTACAGACAAAAGGGGTTGGTGGATATCCCCTCTGTTCCTAGTTCAAGTTGGACAGTGATCCTTTCTTGGGAGTCAGGGAGGACTTCCTGGAGAAGGAGCAATTTAGACTGACCATGAAGAATGAGAAGGAGTTTGCCAAGCAGAAAAGAGACATCAGGCCAGACTTGGTGGTACAGGCCTGTGATCCCAGTTACTCGGGAGACTGAGGCAAGAAGGTCCCAAGTTTGAGGCCAGCATCAGGGAGGGAGGGGGAGAGAAAGAGAGAGAAGATTCTTCAGGAAGCAGTTTCTATAAGGGGGGAACAGCCCGAGCAAGAGTCTGCTGATGCAGGTGCTTCAGTCTCATCACCCGGTGCTTCCTGGAGTCTACCTTTTCCCCCACTGGGGAGGGTGGGGTGAGGCCTCAGCATTGAGCCTGGCTTCCCTGACTCCGTTTCCCTCTCCTCAGCCCCCTGTGGGTGGCATTGATGAGCACCTTGATCCTGGGTCTGCTCTTTGTGGCCATCTACGTCTTGTCTGGTAGCGAGATCTCCTATGATCCGCTCTATGCTGGTGAGTCCCTGGGTGATTGTGAAGGAGAGGACTCTCTGGACCAGGGCCTCCATCCTCAGACTTGGGGCCATTGAAGGACCTCTTCCATCACACTGGAGGCCTTCGATGGGCTCCCATTAGACTGATGACCTCAAAGACACTGGGAAACCTTCATTAGATTGGCGAACCTCAAAAAGCTTCCTCCTTCAGACTTGGACTCCTGAGAGAAGGGATTGTGTCTCCCCCATCAGATTGGGAGCCCCTGAAATTCTGTGCCTCCCCATCACTCCTAGATCTCCTGAGGGCAGGGATGCTGCAGCTCCCGTAAAATTGGGGACCCCAAAGGTGGGGCTGTGTCTCTGTCTGACATGCAGAATGAGGCAGGCTTGTGGTCCGGCACCTGTGGGCCCTTGACTGGAACCTCATTCCTGACCTGCTACTTCAAGCCCCTTATTTTATGCCTGACCTAAACCTGCCCAAGCCCAAACCCGGACCTATTGGCCCTAGCCCCGCCCACACGTGGCATTGACCACGCCCGTTATAAATCCCCACCCACACTGGCCCCGCCCACTCACTCTCCCCGCAGTCTTTGCAATCTTTGCCTTCACCTCCGTGGTGGACCTCATCATCGCTCTCCAGGAAGATGGCTACGTGGTGGGCTTCATGGAGTTCTATACCAAGGAGGTACGTGGAGGGTGGCCCGGGATGTCCCATGCCCCACCTTTTGTTTGAGCCTCTCACCTGCCCTCACAGGGTGAGCCATACCTGCGCACATCGCATGGAATCTTCATCTGCTACTGGGATGGCACGGTTCACTACCTCCTCTACCTGGCCATGGCAGGTGCCATCCATAAAAGGTGCAGGGGGCAGGCCGGGTGGTTCCTGGGCCCTGAGAGAGAAACTGTGTGCTCAGGTGGGGTCCCAAGTCAGGGTGGAACCAGAAGTTCCTCGGGAGTGGGAATCAGAAGCCTCTCTAGCGCTTCAGCTAGGGATGGGGAAGAGAGGGTTCCAGAGAATGTCATCAGGTGTGAGTGGTGGTGGTGATTCTTGCCTTGTATCCACCTTGCCCCTTTGATAGAGTGGCTGACAGTTCAGTCCCCTGTTCAACTCCCTGTTGTTCCTTCTATTCTGGGCAAAACAGAGAGACCTGGAGTTGGGAAGCCCAGAATGGTCTCTGGACCCTGACTGAGGCTCTGAAACCTGAGACCAGGTACCCACTACTCACTCCCACTCCTTCCCAGAAAGAGATACCGGAATCTTGGACTCTACTGGCTGGGTTCCTTCGCCATGAGCATCCTGGTGTTCCTCCCAGGAAACATTCTTGGTAAGGACTCAGTTTTGGGGAATTACAAAATTTGGCTGGGTTAGTGCCCTTCACCTGGAAACCCCTGTGTTGGATCCTCCACCACTTCCCAGTTCACAGAGGCCCCTTCCTTCCTTATGCCTGTCGGTAGAAGAGCCTCAACCAGCAGCCTACAGATTCCTCTTGGAGCCCAAATTAATTCTGCTTCCTCCCCAGGCTACTGGTCCCTGACCTCCAGTCTCCGGGGGTTTGGCCAGAATGCTTTGACACAGAAAGGGAATTTTTAGGTTGATAGAGTGACAGAGTGGAAGCTTTGTAAGTAGATCTTGGGATGTAGAGCAGAGATGAAGAGCACAGATGATAGTCCAGATGTTGGTATGGCCTGACAAAGACCCAGCAAGGACAACACCCAAGGTGTATTCATGGGAAGAAAAGGATGGTCGGAATGTAGGATCTGTATCCAGAGGGTAAACGGAGGCAGGCCAGGCTGAGGAAAGGGGACATCATCTGATGGATGTAAGGAATCATGGAGGGTGTTGGAGTTTGAGTGAGATTAGCATTTGTGAACCAAGAAGTCCATCCAGAGCCGGGTTCAGTGGCGCATGCCTGTAATCCCAGAGGCTCAGGAGGCTGAGACAGGAGGATCATGAGTTCAAAGCCAGCCTCAGCAAAAGCAAGGCACTGAGCAACTTAGTGAGACCCTGTCTCTAAATCAAATACAAAATAGGGCTGGTATGCGGCTCAGTGGCCCAGTGCCCCGAGTTTAGTCCAGTTACACACCCCCCCCCACACACACACACAGAAGTCCATCCATGCTCTGGCATGGCTCAACTAATGGGCCCAGCCAGGTCTGGGAGACCCTTGCTGACTGGCTTCCTCTCTCCTCCGCCGTGGCAGGCAAATACAGCTCAGAGCTTAGACCCGCCTTCTTCCTTGCCATCCTCTACCTGCTGGTGCCGTGCTGGGCTGGCAGGAGGGTCTTCAGCCAGTCTCGGGCACCAACCTTCTGTACGCCCAACATGGTGAGCGCCTTGATCCCAGGCAGGCCTTGTCCCAGCCTGCCTGAAGGTCCCCACATGTGATTTCCTTTTAATCAAAGACTTTGTCTCCTTGAAAGGATCACCTTCTTTCATGCTGTCTCCAATTCTCTCCCCTGGGGCAGGTGCAGGAAGAGCAACGAAAGGGCCTTCTGCAGCGCCCTGCTGACCTGGCCCTCGTCATATACCTCTTCCTTGCTGCATTTTTCACCCTTTTCCGGGGCCTGGTGAGTTTGCCCTGGCCAGCCTCCCCATTTCCTGCCTCTGGCCTCCCTTCCTGGTTCACCTCTCTCATATGTGTTCCTTTACTGGTGCAGAAAAACTGTTGCTATTCTGTCCAATTATCTAAGGAAGTTCTTCTTCAAGTCTGACCTGAGTGTTCACTCCTCTTTCCTCTGGGAGAGAGCCAGAGTTAGGGATATGGACCTGCTTGAGCATTGTTGGTGTGGGAGGCTTCCCACTTGAGGGACGCTTGAGGTTGGTGGATGGTTCCTCTGTCTGCCCTAGGTGGTGCTTGACTGCCCCACGGATGCCTGCTTTGTTTACATCTACCAGTATGAGCCATACCTGCGGGATCCCGTGGCCTATCCAAAGGTGCAGGTGAGAGGGCAGGTGGGAGGAGAGGGCCATTATCCTGCCTGAATCTCTTGGAAGGCAGAGCCAGAAGCACAAATTAAATTGACAGAAACACATATGGGATGTGTTGTCTTACCAAAAAAGTAACAGATATGGTTTTCAGGTATGGCTGGATCCAGGAACTCAAGGATAACTGTCTCCAGGCTTTGCTTCCCTGGCATGGCTCTCTGTGGGGTGGCACAGGCAGCTCTAGGCTTCCATCCACCCTAGTCAGCCACCCCAGAGGAATATGATCCATTATTACCCCAAAACTTAAGTGCATGTCTCAGGCAGGCTGGAATATGCCCACCCCTTATGAATCATTATAACCATTTGACTGGAGTGTTATGATTGGCCAGGATCACATGCCTCTTTTGGAGATAGAGGAGTAAGCTTGGTATATATAGGTGGTGGGGGCAATGACCCCCAAGGGAAAGAGGATCACTTTGCACAGGAGTGGGGGGGTACAGGGAGCCCCATCCTGGGTAGGATCTGAGGCTGTCCAGACCTCTCTTCAGATGCCCCGTGTCTGGGGTCTCAGGAGACCAAGCTCATCTCATAGGCTGTGCCCCTGTTGCCCCCAGATGCTGATGTATATGTTCTACATTCTGCCCTTCTACGGCCTGGCCACCTATGCCCTCACCTTCCCCGGTTGCTCCTGGCTGCCTGACTGGGCCTTGGTGTTTGCTGGAGCCATTGGCCAGGTGAGGGGGAGGTGGGTGATGGGTGGGGGCGGGTGGACAGGCATGCAGGGAAGGCGGTTTCTGCTTACCCATCAGCTGCTTCTGTGCTCAACCTGGGCAACATGATTATGGGCACCAAGAGGTCCCAGGCCCAGTACCTAGGAATTCACTAGTCTGGGGGAGAAAGAGCCAAAACACAGATACTCCCAGCCCCCTGGGGTCAGAGCTAGAGAGGAGGAAGGACAGGGACTGAGAGGGATTGGAAGGAAAGCACAGGAGCTGGGCTTTGATGAAAGAGAACGGGTTTCCAGGAAGGGAAGTGCATTTCAGGAATGGGAGCAACATAAGGACAGGTACAGAGGAGGACAATAATTTAGTAGGGCCATCATGTAGGTAAAGGCAGAAGGAAGAGAAACTGGCAGATAGATGCTGAAGACTGAACTCTGGCTTTGGGAACTGGTGCTGAGGATGACTGGGAGCCATGGGAGGTGTTTGAGCAATGGAGGGCCTAATCAGAATGGGGCCCTATTTCTGAAAAGAAATACCTGGCCCCAGGCCAGGGCAGGAAGACCCAAGAAGATTTCCACGGGGGTAGAATTGACAAGATTTGGGTCAAAAGCAGCTGTCAAGGGTAGGGAAGACTAGGAGGAGGAGCTGGACTGGATCGGCTGTCAACAACATGAGGACAGGGACCCTCTGGGCTCTGCCTGACTATCTTCTGTACGACCCGAGCATGCTGGGACTTCTGTCCCCTTCTGGTCCCTGACATCCATCCTTCCTGTCTGGTCACCAGGCACAGTTCTCACACATGGGCGCTTCCATGCACCTGCGCACACCCTTCACCTACCGTGTGCCAGAGGATGCCTGGGCCTGCGTCTTCCTGTGCAATCTACTGTATGCTCTGGGTCCTCATCTGCTGGCCTACCGCTGCCTGCGCTGGCCAGCCTTCTTCTTGGACCCACCACCCCCAGATGCCCTGGCCCACAAGAAGCAGCAATGAGAGGGCTGCGGGGCTCCCTGAGACTCTGTTTACATGCACAGCCAGCCCTGCCCTGGGAAGGGTGGGTTACCGGTTTTTACCAGCAGGAGACACACCTCTGGGGATCTTCAGTACTAGCTATGCTGGTTTCAGGCCAGGGGGTGGGATGGGAGACTAATAGCCAGGTGTTCTTACAAAGAGAGCCTCACTCAACCATTAATCACTGTTCTCCCAGAGGAGCCTTCTGCTGTCCCAGAATTTACCCATCACCCCGCCCGATGAGTCCTTTTAATAAAAAGCCTTTTGGTGTCTAAAACATCACTGTCTGAGTGTTTCAGGGTGCCAGGGCAAGGAACCCTTTTCTTGGATCCCACAGGGAACTCAATCCTCACTGCCATGTGGCTGTCCAAAACCTGAGGCAGCAGGATAACAGAAGTCTGCCTCTGGTTGGTATGCACAGCTCCAACTTCCTGATGGGGAAAACTGAGGCTCACAATGGATAAGAGACCTTCCTGATGTCACGATCAGGGGAAAAATTCACTGCTCTGCCAATAAATAACAATATGAGTTATAATGTGGCACCATTACTAAGCCAACTGTATACCATATCAAGTATTACATGCTGGATTTCACCCATATTCCAGATGGGAAAACAGAGGCTGTAGGAAGTGAAGGTCCTTGTCCTAGGTCATATGTCTTGGGCACAACTGAGCTGGGGACTAAGTCCCACCAGGTGAGACCACAGAATCTATAATTGCTTCTATACAGTAGGCTTGGGCTCATTTTAGGGGAAACAGATCAGAGAGGCAGCCAAGAAGTTGCAGGGAGGACTTACCATTTCTTGGTTTGCCATTTTTTAAATTGGGTCAAGGGCCAGGCTTAGGCCTTTGACTTAAACTCAAGGGAATCAGGGACTTGATCAGAATCCCTTGCTCCTTGCCCCTACGTGTACTACTAGGTACCTAGTGTGTGTGTGTGTGTGTGTGTGTGTGTGTGTGTAGAGCTATTGGATCTTTAAAGAACCAAATTGCCATTTCCCAGAGATGGAAACAGCTCAGAGAGGCAAAGTTCTCCTCCATGGTCCCACAGTGAGGAGCGCAGAGTTGGACTTGAACCTGTCGCTCGAGGTCCCTATGCTAGAGTATGATTATTATGGGGCCTTCACCACTCCAGGATGGTCACCTAAAGGGCAGATGGGCAAACTGAAGTCTGTAGGTCAAGCTCCTTAACCAAGTCACTCACCAACTCTTGCCAAGGCAGGTGTCCTGGATGGAAGATCCCGGACTTCCGGTCCCATTCCATTTTAAAGATGATTAAACAGAAAGAAGCTCAAGAGTTTGAGGGACAGGGCAGGGACGTGGCTACGCACTCATTACGAAGAGCAGCCCTTCCTCAGCCAGTGCCCAGGCCCACCTTTCCACCAAGCCGCGTAGCTGCGTCGCCTTTAACAACCCCCCCGCCGGCCTCCCTCCTCCCCTTGCAGGCAGACTCCGGGATTGCGCCGCCCTGCGGGACCTGCCCAGTCCTTCCCTGGTGTGCGGGGAGCGCGCAGTCCGGACGCGCAGGGGCCGCTCGGCTGGGGCCGCGCGGGCAGGATGGTGAGTGCGGCCACCGGAGCAGGTCCCAGGCTGGTAGTGTGTCCCTGATCCCCCCGGTTTCTGGGCTTCTGTGTCCGATTCTGTCCCTTCAGTATTTCTCTTCCCAGTCTCTCTTTCTCTTTCACCCTCTTGTATCTGTCCCTTTTTCTGCTCCCCTCTGTGCCTCCTTCTACCTTTCTTTCCCCTTTTTCCGGGGTGGGTGGTGATGTTCTCCCTGTCTCTTCTTCTGTCTCTCCCCCACCCATGTCTCTCGTTCCTCATCTCTGTCTCTGCGCCTCTCGTGGTCTCTTCTCTTTTTCTTCCAACATGTCTGTCTCCGTCTCTCTCTCGGTTCTTTCTGTCCCTGTTCTCCCCAGCCCCCAGCCCCGTGTCGTTCCCTGTGTCTCCAGCCACCCCACCCCCCGCGCTCCCGTCCCGGCCCGGTTTGCTGCAGTCTCCTGGCGCACGGATAACCTTGCTACCGCGGCTCCAGCTCCTCCCCTCCCCACTCCAGAGCCCGGCCCCAGAGAGGAGGAGGCGGGGCTCTGAGCCACCTGAGTTGGGGTAGGGGGTCAGGCGGGGTGCTGGGGCAGGTCTAAGGGAGAATGAGTCCAGGGGCTTGGGCTTAGTTCAGGAGCCAGGGTGCAGGGGAGGGGCCTCCCAACACTCCCCTTGGGGGAGTCCTCTGGGACCCTGGCCGGAGTAGGGGCCTGGGCATTTGAGAAGTCCTCGCGGGGATGGCAGACAGTCCTCTAAAAGGCAAAGGCTGCTCGAAGCTGGCTTGAGCACCTTGTGTCCCCAGGTGTGCGCTCCGGCGGCCCTTGGGCGGGGCGTGCTCCCGGCCGCGGTTTGGGGAATACTGCTGCTAACCGCCTCGGTGGAGGCGCAGCGCGGCCGGAAGAAGGTCGTGCACGTGCTGGGTGAGTCCGGGCCGCGGAAGCGGGTCTTGCCCCTGAGGAGCTATGGCCAAGAGTGATCACCCGGCTGCGCAGACGCGGCCGCAGGGTAGCGCTTTGCTGACAGCCACGGTACCCCCATCCCCCCACCTGAGCCCCTGGCCCCTCCCTGAGCCCCTTTACCTTTCTGATCCCCAGATGCTCACCCAAATCTTCTTCCTACACTCCCCGCCCCGCTCCTAGACCCCTCCTCTCTGAACCTTGCTTGGTTGCCCTACAGAGGGTGAGTCGGGCTCAGTGGTGGTGCAGACGGCACCTGGGCAAGTGGTAAGCCACCGGGGTGGCACCATCGTCTTGCCCTGCCGCTATCACTACGAGGCAGCTGCTCACGGCCACGATGGCGTCCGCCTCAAGTGGACAAAGGTGGTGGATCCTTTGGCCTTCGCCGACGTCTTCGTGGCACTGGGTCCCCAGCACCGGGCATTCGGCAGCTACCGCGGGCGGGCAGAGCTGCAGAACGACGGGCCGGGGGATGCCTCCCTGGTCCTCCGAAATGTCACCCTGCAGGACTATGGGCGCTACGAGTGCGAGGTCACCAATGAGCTGGAAGACGACGCTGGCATGGTCAAGCTGGACCTGGAAGGTGACCAGCACATGGACAGGATGGAGCTTACTACCAAGGGAGGAGAGAATGGGAGATTGCAAGGGACAGAATTCAAATCAAGTTGACTTGAAGAAATTTAGAGATTTTGTTGGGTTAGAGCAATGGTTCTGATGAGGGCGATTTGAGACATTTTAGGTTGCTATATTTGGAATGGGAGTGATACTGACAGCTAGTGGGGAGAAGCCAGGGATGCTACCTGACACAAGAGTCCCCCAGAAAGAATAATTCAGTTAAAAAGTGTTAATAGGAAGGACACTGAGAATCCTGGGATAGTTAAGGTTCAGGTACAGTGAGATCCAAGTATTGGTACTAAGTCAGAAATTCATCTCTTGTCTCTGCTTCCTGAATGGGCTTTGCTGGGTAGTTTTTCTGTTATGAAACCCAAAGGAACCCCAATCCTAATGCCAGGCTTCTACCCTCACTGCTTAACAAGAGATTTCCTGGAAGACTCAGCTAGAGTCTCAGAGTTGTTTCTCATTGGATCACCTTGAATCATGTGCCTATCTGTGAGCCAATCTCTGTGTCTAAGAGATGGGCCGCTCTGATTGGCTGACCATGGAGCTGAGAGATAGAGTTTATATCTGAAGAATTCCCCCCCCCCCCCACACACACACACCTGTTTGCCTGATTCAGACCACTAGAATCCTAGAAGATTCTAGGAGAGATTTCAGGGACCCCGCACTTGCAGAACTTTCTAACAATAACAAATCCCAACAGTAGCAGCAGCTCTTCTTTATTAGGCATTCTATGTGCCAGCCACTTAGTTGAAGAGCTCTCTGGAGTCTCTCATTTAATTTTCCCCAAACCCCAAGGGTGACAGCTATTACCAGCAGATGGGCCATCGGCTCAGCGAGGTTAGATAAAGCCTTGCCCAGGGCACATGCTTATGAGCAGGAGAGTCCAGATTCAATCTCTTGTCAGGCTCCAGGTCTTCTCCCTGGCCCCTGTCTGCCGTCTGGGTTTGCTTAAAGTATTCAACTCACCCAAGACCAGTGCAAACACAAAGCGCTTTTGAGCTGCATTGATTGTGAGTCCAATGAGGAACCGGTTCATAAGAACTGAAGGGGGAAGGGAAATTAATGGATACTATCTTGGACAATGCTGGTGAATCAAATGGGGTTTTTCACCCTGGGTCAACCTTCCAGGTGCTCCCAGTCTTAGGGAATCCTGCAGTGCATACAGACATTCCTAGATCTGTGGGCTTGGGACTAGACCAGTGGGAAGGACAGTGCCTGTGGGATGTCAGAGACACATAAGACCCAATAGAGGAGGATTTGGGAGTTGGCTTTTGACCGAAGACTATGAGTTTGACAGGTGGAAAAGGGTATAAAAAATCATGAGAAACAGTCTCCACGGTGGGAGAGGGACAGACACAATTAAGTATGTTCGTGGGAGGGTCAAATAAATCCAAAATTTAAGGTTAAAGTAGCCATAATGGATGTGAGCTGGGGAAAGGTGTGGTGGGATCCGATCTGAGGCTAGAGAGGAAGGAACTTGAAGGTTCAGGTAAAATAGTCAGGTCATAGGGCATCGGAGATGTCAGGTGGATGGGGCGTGCTAGGGGACCCTGGCTGAATCCCTGTGCCCTCCCCTAGGCGTGGTCTTCCCCTATCACCCCCGTGGAGGCCGCTACAAGCTGACCTTCGCGGAGGCTCAGCGCGCGTGTGCGGAGCAGGACGGTATCCTGGCGTCTGCCGAGCAGCTGCACGCGGCCTGGCGCGATGGCCTGGACTGGTGCAACGCAGGCTGGTTGCGCGACGGCTCCGTGCAGTACCCGGTGAGCCAGCCTCGGGAACCCTGCGGCGGCCTGAACGGGGCCGGGAATGCCGGGGCGGGTGGCGGAGCCAACGGCGGCGGCGTGCGCAACTACGGTTATCGGCATAA